GGGGGGCAGGGGGCATTGCATCTGTGAAGTCATGGCGAGAGGCTGTTCACAGAGTTTTCACGTTGTACTGATGCTCTGCTGTCAATACTTATGCGCTCTACGTACGAGTCTCTCTGTAGACTCTGTATTTGAATCCAATTTGAGCTGTGATTGCCTTCCCATCTGTTGCTTGTTTCATGTTGCACATCAGTAAATGCTTCGGCATGATCTGGTAGATGGTGCTGCCTCACTATGTTGGGATGGAATCATTAAGCGGGGTTTTCTCCTGTCACTCTTTTCAGGTCTGCTGGTCAGCTGAGCATTTTGGCAGAAAAGCAACGGAGGCGGCTACAGGAGAGACATCAGAAAACACAAGTTAGAGAGGATTCCAAGGCAGAGGACAAGGGGAAGGGTGTGACTGATATGGATGATGAGAAGAACGCAAAGCGGAAGGGAAAAGTGGAGCTGGAGTCTCTTGTACGTTCATTGAAACGGAAAGTGGGAGGTTCCAGCGACAACAAAACTGTGCATCAAGGAATGAAAAAAGTGGATGGCCATGAGGCGAAGAGGAAACTAACAGGCACGGGCGAACGTGCCGCACCGTCTTCAATGAAAAAAAGGCCGAAGTTTTGAGTTGTCAGTGAGTGAAATTCTGTTCTGTGGAGTTTATGCACCTGCCTTTGCATTTGCATTTGCATTTGCATTGATAACCGCCCCGCAGGCATTGGGATGTGTGCAGGATGGAGATAGCAAGAGAGGGATAGAGAAAAGGGAACGTAGAGAGAGTGAGAGGGAGAGAGAGAGAGAGCGGGCAGAGTGGAGCAGAGACAAATGGGAGGACAGACGCAAGAGTTAGAGAGAGGAGAGAGAGAGAGAGAGAGAGAGAGAGAGAGAGAGAGAGAGAGAGAGAGAGAGAGAGAGAGAGAGAGGCTGGCAACGGAAGGGCTTACCCTAGCCCACTGCATTTATTTCATTCCTCCTACATTGTTGAAATACCCAAGGGCCTTTGAGCTTGGTGTTATGAGGTGTTATGGAAGTTTGAAGATCTTTCGGGACAGTTCGACGATACGTCGGTACTTGATTTTGAAAGGCGACGTCTGATCTCTGCAGTTAGCTTTGGGTTGAGGAGTTTTGGGAAGGTGAATGATATGTTTTGCCTTTTGCGCTTCTTGAAAGAGACTGCGAACTTCATTGTGCCTTAGGATATCTCAGAGTGTTTGTTCAGTAGGTTCACTTCTTTTTTGTCCTTTTCTCCCTTTCTGCCTACGGTTCACTGAGCAGTTCGTTGTTACGCTTCGGCAGGTTTTCCCTGGCGGGTTTGAAAGCCGCTTAGAGCCGTCAGAGGTGGAAGATGTAGGTGTATGACGGCGCAAGGGAGGAAGAAAGGTGACAGCTAATGTAGGTTTTATGGGCTGAACAGGTATTTTATGGCTGATGCAGGTGACAGCTAATGTGTAGCGCCTGTCTGAGGCTTAGCAGGGAAGTGTGTCGGTGCCATGTGACCGTCCTTTTCTTGCATTGTCACACACATCCCCAGGCCTACCTTGTGTGTGTGTATTGCTCATCCACGTCTGATTACGCTGCCATTTTTGTCAAAATGTCAGACACGCTACAATTGAAGGGCGTCTCTCTGCACACAGTTGTATGTGTGCAGAGGACTGATCTTGTACGTGTGCAGCATCCGCACATGATTTTCGCGTGAGGACTGATCTTGTATGTGTGCAGCGTCCGCTCATGATTTTCGCATGAGGACTGAACTTGTATGTGTGCAGCGTCCACACGTGATTTTTGCATGTCCAAGTTGCTACGGAGGACACGTGTTGGTGGTGTACGACCATCCTTTTCTTGCACCGGCACAAATACGCCCAGGCCTTGTGTGTATTTCTCGTCCACCTCTGGTTACGCCGCCATTTTCGTCAGACACACTACGAATGAACGGCTTCTCTCTGCACACAGTCGTATGTATGCAGAGGACTGATCTTCCTTTCCTATTGTCTACAATCTGCGGGGTGTGCATGCATTTTTAGCATGTCCCAGATGCTGCCAAGGACACGCCAATTCGATCAACCACATGCTCGCCTGTGATGCTCCTTGTTCTCTCGTTCTGGTTGGCAATCAACTGAACATATTATTTGCTGGTTGATGACGACCTTCATGGAGACTGTCGCATCATGTGGGCAGGTTCCCTCCATGGTTTGTGAGGTGGGCTTGGTCGATGACGACCTTCATGGAGACTGTCGCATCAAGAATTCCCTCCCGCCGTCACCTAAATAGAATGCCTGGTCCCTCACCAGAGATGAGCAACGGGTAGCCAGACCCGCACCCACCCGCACGCACCTGCACCCGCAAGGCACCTGCATGGGTGTGGGTGTAAATAAGTTGGGCTGGGTGGGATGAGGGTGGGTCGCAGTTAGCTGTCTGGGTGGGTGACAGGCGGATGTCTGGGTGGGTGACAGGCGGATCAATGTTAGGCCAGGGTCACCCGCATGGGTGGGTGGCAGGTTGTTGAATGTCTGGCCTGGGTCACCCGACCCACTGACCCAGGATGGCCCGCAAGGACCCCCCCGCCCCCTCCCCAAAACAACAAAACCTGTGAGCGTAGGGGCCTGTAGGGAAACGAAATACCAAGCAAAAATGCCCCACGTTGCGTCCCAGTGGCATACTGGGACCCGCCTCTGTTAAAACACAACATGGAGGGAACCTGCCCACATGAAGCGGCAAGGTTCGCTCCTCGATTTCAATCAAGGGACTGGGCCTTTTTTATTTCCGCACTGTCATTTGAGCCCGGTTCGCCACTTGAGCCTGGTTCAGTCCTCCATTTGAAGCTGTTAAGAGAACGTGGAGCGAACCTACCGACATGAAAAGCTGCAAGGTTTGCTCCAGGATTTGAATCTGGGGACTTTAGTTTTTTTTTATCCAGAGGCACCGGAGGGATCAATTCCCAGTGGGCCCAGGGGCATCAATTCCCAGAGGTACCAGAGGGATCAATTGCCACTTGTCAGAGCCTGGTACAATAGTTGAATACCCAACTTAACCCAAGCAAGATATGCTAGATCTTTTTCAGAAGGGCAGTAGCAGTCAGTGCATGCATTTGCAATGTGTAACAGCGCGAACTCCCTTGGCTGTCGTGTCCTTTTTGTTTTCCAAAGGGCATAATACTATAATAGCCTCTTACATTATTGTTGTAAACTGTTCATTGAATTCCGTTAGGATTTGAACTTGTGCCCTGTTTGCCGACAGTTACGTCTTATACCATTCAGAGACATGGGCTGGGTGTTTGGCTGATGTCGCATTATGGAAGAAAGCGAGAAACAAACGTCAGCAACGTAGGCACAAATGCTAGTGTGTTGAGGAAGGGCGCGGGGAGTGGGGAGCGGGGTGCGGGGTGAAAGACGGAGGCGGGCATTGTAGAGAGGTTTAGCCGTTCGGGCAACTGAGCCTTGCCCTTTTCAGCACATCTGATTCAAGTCTGGTCCTTCTCATCAAGGTTGGGAGGAGTGGTGGTTGAAGTTTTCACTGTGATGGGAATATGTCCAATTGACGCACCATGACATATGTATTGTGATGCACTCATAGCAGGTACCTCGTTTTGTTTTTAATGCACGTCAGTGTACATTGTGTGCGGCCATACGTTGTAGCTTGCCTTTTAATGTTTTGGTAGGGGGGGTTACTTTAATGTTTTGGTAGGGGGGGTACTTTAATGTTTTGGTAGGGGGGGTACTTGAACGTTTTGGTAGGGGGGTTACCATTTGGTTTGCACTGCTGCACCGGTCATCTGCCTGAAGGCAAGCATCAGAGCAGCAAAGCTGTTCACAATACCACTCTATGGGCAGGGCTTGGTTCATAATTGAAAAAAAAAAAAAAAAAAAAAAAAAAGACAAACTACATGCAAGGAGGGCAGACGTCATGACTTCAATTCATTGCATTGAGGACATAATGATGATGTCGAAGGGTGATTGATGCACCCAATGGGGGCAAGCCTGAGAGCAACCCATGGAGGTATTGCACTTAAACCACCAGTACTTGGCCCAGCTATCGGCTGTGGCGCTTTCCTGTTAACTCGCCGCGCCATTAGGGCTTCGGGGTACCAGACCACAATGGCTGGAAGCGCCAGCCAAAAAAAAATCAAAACGGTACCCCGGCGTTTCGGCGAAAATCGGCGCGCTAGGGCAATCCAGGCCCAGCATCGATAGCTGGGCCAAGTACTGGTGGTTTAAGACCACCAGTACTACGAAACCTCCTTTACCTTAGGCAGATTTGTGCTGTGCGCCGAAGGAAAAAATAAACTGGCACAATCAGGGTAACCGGCGTTTGGGACGGGCCGAACGCCCGAACCCGAACGTCCGAACGTATGGGACCCCTTGGGGATGCGCTCGGCCGTTCGGGCCGAACGCGGGCCCAAAAAAAAAACAAAAACAAAAAAACAAATGTCATCAAAAAATTTTGAAAAAAAGATATGTTATGGAGAAAAATAAATTAAACAAGATTTGCCTGAGCATTACATCCGAATTCCTTACCAAATTTGAAATAAAAATAAAATACGGAAAACAAATACTAATAATAAAAATAAATAAAAATAAAAAGAGAATTAAATTTAGTGAGTGCACAAGCATGTTTTCGACACCGTCATCTTTGGCGATTTTTCTTTTTTTTTTGGCATAGCTAAATGCCCTGAAAATTTACAGATGTGTACTTCACATAATACAAAAACCACTAAAAAAGTTTCGAAAAATAATAAAATTGTCTAGACCCCGAACTAAAGTGAAAACAAAAAGTAAAAAGTGAAAAAATACGTGGGCGAGCACGTTTTGACACCGCCATCTTTGGCGATTTTTAATTTTTATTTGGCTTAGCCAAATGACTTGAAAATTTACAGGCATGTACCTCACGTCATAGAGAACTCACAAAACAAAATTGAGAAGAAAATAATTATTTTTAGGCCCCGAAATATTTTTTGGCGGGGGCCAAACGCCGTCGGGTTTGGACCCCGTACGGGACCCCAAACGCTCATACGTACAGAGGTCTGCCTGGGGACCTCCGTACGTACGGGCTGGTGACCCTGGGCACAATGCTAGTTTTTGTCATTTTGACTTACGCCACGAGCCATGCATGTTCGGTAGGCCTAGAACAAAACAGCTGGGAAACGTGGAGCACGATTCGTTTCCGCTAAACAAGAAGCAAAAAACAGAATCAATAAAGGGAAAAAGGGGAGTACCAAACCATATCTGTTTTTTGTGCTGTAACGATTTCCATAATATTACAAGGACCTACACAAATTAATACAAAAATAATTATAATAAGACGAATAGAAACTCCATAAGAAACCATTTGGGGCTTAGAGCACCAGTGCGCAAGGAAGGTGCTCCGGATAACGCACCTGAACTGAGTTTATTTCATTTCAACCTGGACTTAGTTTTTTCATTTCAGGTTAGTTTATTTCATTTCAGGTTGTAATAAGATGCACACGTTTCATGTTAGTTTATTTCATTTCAGGTTGTAATGAGATGCACACACAGACCCGTGAATGTATGCAGACGCCTGTAGAGGCCCGCAGAAGGGTCTTGTGTTTCATTTCAGGTTGTAATAAGATGCACACACAGACCCGTGAATGTATGCAGACGCCTGTAGAGAACCGCATAAGGGTCTTGCGTTCTAGTGGTTCAAAACCTGGCATCTTATTTTCCATTGATTGTAATAGAGCTAGCTCCATGGGTCAGTAGCAAACATTTTGAGTAGACTCTAATGCACATAGAGTAATGGTGCTACTAGGGGGGTACCCCTGCGGGTATTTACCGTTGTTTGAAGGGTAGAAAGTAAATATGCTTCGTTGTTTCCCATTGAGCAACCAGGAATTGTGAATGCAATGCTTCCCAGTTTATGGTCGGTGTCCAAAGGACTGACGGCGAGAGGGAGAGGGAGAAAGGGAGGGAGGCAGAGGATGTTGAAATTGACGCCAAGAGAAGGAAGAGAGGTGAGAGGGAAGGACTGGGGGTGGAAAGGTGGGTGGGGGAAGGTGTTGGTACTGGCTTCCGTGAGGATTGTTTCTCTTCCCAAATCACCGAGAAGCCGGTAATGGTTTGCTGATCTTTTTGGATTGTTGTGATCTTTGCGTTTTGCTGCAAGGGTGTTGTAAGGAGCTTATTGAATCTAATAGGTTATTGTCATTTATAAGCAGGGGAAGTAGCAAGTTTTCCATAGGTGAAACCATGAATGGAAATTATCAAATTGTGACGGTTTTTCCCACCCGTTTCGTTTTCTGCATGCACTTGGAGATTTCTAATGTATTCTCAAACTTTGTGTTGTCGAGAAATGCCCTTTTTTATTACTTGACCACTAGTGGCAAATACTGAATATGTCCACAACACTTTCTCGTACATATAATGAAGTGCATATGCTCCTACTGCAATGTAGAAAATCGATGTGTGCCCATGCAAATTATAACAAATGCAAATTCGGTAGATAAGATGAGAAAGAGAGAATGGGAAAGGGAAGGGTGAATGTAGGTATCGAGACGAAACTGTTCCTACAACCTTCTACATATTGTTCATCAGCACACTACGAACATGTTTTACCTACGAATGGTTTTAAATTCATTGCATTTACAAGGTGCACACAATTTTACGTTGCCATGCACAATCAACTATTGCACACACAACTCAATGTGTATTAAATGCGAGGTGTATTAATTGACAACATATAATTTAATGACATGCTTGATGATGTTGCATATATTGTTAACTTCAAGGATATATTTTTGTCAGCATCCCACTTTAGTGAACTCATTTACGTAGATGTAATTAACACACTACAACATATACCTAATGATTTAGTCGTACGTGTTTCGACTGTCTTTGTGTTTTTTGAAGTTATGGGGGAGTTGTCCTCCTTAGTATTCAATGACCATGACCGTTCAGGAAAA